TAATTGGATTGTAAATACTCACCAATTATTTTTTAATGCATCTTACTCCTACTTCTTCTGTCAGTCGAATGAGCTCTAGCACGTGGCGCGACCATATATATACGGTCGACCCCGTCTTTGAAAGATCTTTCAAAGTCTTCGAAAGCGTTTGAAAGATCTTTCCAAGTCTTCGAAAGCCTTTGAAAGATCTTTGAAGCATTTTTCAAAATCTTCCAAAGTTTTTGAAAGGTCTTGGAAAGTCTTTGAAAGATCTTTCAAAGTCTGAGAAAGATCTTTGAAAGACCTTAAAAAGATGTTTGAAAGATCTTTCTAAGCGTATGGATGTCTCTGAATGATCTTTGAAAGATTTTTGAAAGTTTTTTCAGTGATCTTTCAAAGTGTTTGATAATCTTTTAAAGTTCTTGGAAAGGTCTTCGAGAGATCTTAGAAGGATTTTTGAAATATCGTTGAAAGTCTTTGAAAGGTGTTTGAAAATCTTTGAAATTCTTTGATAGCCTTTGAAAGATCTTCGAAATATCTTTCACAGATCTTTAATACGACCGGATGTGGGCTTTGTAAATGGAACGGAAATGAGTAGTTTATAACCGGGATCCTGCGGTTGGGAAGAAACACCGGAAACTTTTTTCGGAACCGTACTGGAAACGGCAGGTATACAACTCTGATCCGGTTAGCGTGCTATAAAACCGGAAACTTGGTCGGGAACCGGACCGGAAACGACAACCGTATCCGAACATTGCATCCTGGTGCAGGAATTAGCGGGAACTAAGCAGGATCCGGAAGCCGTACCCGATTTTGGAATACTGCTTCCATGAATTCGCCGGAATTTCGCCGGATCCTATCGTTTCCTGCCGTGCATCTTTGACCTGGGCCTGTCCTTTTTCATACGTCCGGAGATCGTAACGCACATATGCTCCTGGAGATCGTAATGAAAAGTTGATGCGAAATGTCCCTTTCCCATCATTTTTGATATAAATAATGAATTTTTTTTATTAGTATCGAGTAGATTGCTTTTATTGGAAAAAAAGTTTTTAATATAAGTATTGAACACATCGATACAAAAAATATAACAGCGCATTGGAATGAAAAAAAACATTGTTTTTGTTTCCGTCGTCTGACTTAACATGATGATGGACGAATAACTATTTGGCTTCCCAGGTCGATGATTACGGACTTCGTATACGCCCGTATATGTGGAGCGTAGACGATCTTTTTTTCTCCGTATATCGTCGTATATCTCCGTATACGGTCGTTTACGAACGTGCCTGTTCGACTTGGGTTGTTTCAAGTTCTCCTGCTATGTCCAAGCTCTTCAGTTTTTGTTCCCCATCATAGTGAAAAAGTAAATCACGCACTTGATCTTGCAGATCTGCTATTTCCTACAAAAACAAAAAGAAATTGTAAAAAAACTACAATAGTTTTTCGCGTTATCCGAAGGTGAAATACAACAATACGGAAGACGCTTTTTATGCTATAGTGTAACTTTGGAAGTTGTGGAAAAGAGTGAGTTACAAAAACGGCAACTGGAAAAATGATCAGTTTGAATGATAATGACAAACATTCTTTTCTCGGGGAGACTATCTTCGAAGCGTGACCAACGACACATCACATTCTCGCTCTTATTTTCGCGCATTTTAAATTGGTACGGCAAATAAAAAACAATCATGACTGAACAACATATGTTCCTAATCTGCTCGACTTTACGTGCCTCAATCATTTCTCAAGAGTCGACGTTTGAACTTACATTTTATATGTACGGAATCAAATGAAAATACCTAAGAGTTGAACGATCTATGGATATCCATGGCAGATTTGAAAGAAACTTCATGCAAGTCTATTTCTCATGTCGATAAAATGATCTTAACACCTCATGATGATTATAAAAGAATTACTCTCTTACCTTGTTTTTGTTTTTCATTTGGTCAATAAAGACCATTTTGATTTTTCTTAGTTGTTCGTTCATTAATTTTTCTTTCCCATAGTGATGCTGAAAATTACAATGAAAAGGCGTGTACTGTTGAACACAAAAATTGGCCATGTTTGGGTCAAATGATCACTTTCATCGAGAAACTAGTGAATTTAAAATATGAGCTGCTGGTGGCGTACCTGGACAGAGATATTCAATTTTTAAGTTATGCATTATTTGGGTATAGACGCATGATAATGTATGAACTATTCGCATCAACTTTTTAGTATAATCATCAGACCTTTTAGGAAGCGAGTTTCCAAAATCTTGACGAAATATATTGACACTATTAGGGCCACTCTAGATTCAACCTCTTCTGAAGTTTAATAGTACCGAAGTGGAAAAGAATCAGTATGTGTTTGAAAAGTGTCGATATGTAAGGTAACTAAAAATGAAGTGCACTTATGTATCATTTTATAATTTATAATATGTTTCTGCTATGGTATGTATTAGAGTCATATTATAAGAGAAAAGGATGAACGTGGTGGTGTGACTCAATTATACGTGCATTTATCTTTTGTTCTCCTCTTTCTATTCTGCTAACATATGTGGATAACGCAAGCTCTCTCTCTCTCTTTTCCATTTCTGTATATTATTCATGGCGTCATGATCTTGTTCACATCTGTCATTGTACATGATGTCATAATCTGAGGGTTGCGCGAATACGACTATAAATTGTAGCCTAGAAAAATATAACCCACAGAAACCTAGAACTTTCAGAATTTGTATTGGCATGTAGTGCCTTGCAGTATCTTGTAGTTGGGAAAAAAATGGAATTTGCGGAAAATGTATTGCGATGTAGTCCCAACATAATACATGTTCTGCAAGTTCTAATTTTCTCCCTCACTACAAGGCAATTCATGACACTACAAATTGTATTTGTATTCGCACATCTGTGGTCTATCTTATCGGTGAGTATAGATCGGAATCGCAATGAAAGAAAAACTATGTCTTTTATTTATTGTATTTTAACAAAGGTGTTCTCTGGATGCGTTTGATCATTATGTTTTTCATTGGACTTTATCCTCGGCAGATTTTTTCCTGTAGCATTTTCTATGCGATTATTATTGGTTCAACAAGCGCGGCAAATCTTCTTGTTGTTTCAATGTTCATCGATCGATCCATTGTGATTCTTTATCCTAGTCGCTATCGTTTTCTCGTCACACGACGTCATATTGTTACTCGTATATCATTGATAATTCTTATAGTTATTTTGACCATGATCCCTCATCATTTTACTCTCTATTATGATCGAAAATCACAAAGTCATTTTCTCTATGAAATTCGTTAACATGCTCGTCGATGAGGAGCTATATTGCGGGCAATGCTGCATGCTATATTGTTTGTTGTTGTACCCTCTCTCATTGATGATGACTTTCTTTTCCTTCAGTGATCTACTCATCATATTGCCCATAAGTGTTCTGCACATTCTTATCATCCGTGATAATATCGTCCATCAAGATACTAACTATTCAGTACGACACATACAATACAGAATTTTACTCAATTGGTTTCTTTCACTTATGGCCATTAATTATTTACTTAAATTCTATACTCGTCTCATTACATCGACTCCTTTTCGACGTGCTTTTGCAAGAATTATCTTCTGCGGTAAAAATAGTGACGATAATCAGCATCCATTCGTAAGATTGATTCATCATGATAGTCAGCAGCGTTCGCCTGCTCTTCTAACTCATCGTGGATTGGAGACACGGTAAAATATAGAGAAACAGTATATCACTCAGAGGATACGACAATGAGTTTCATTGACGGCTTTTTAGCAAATATGAGCAAGCCTTGCGGTATGTCTGTGAAATCGCTTTCACGCGGGCAAAAACAAACAAAAATCTTACGACTTCGACTCTTAACGATGATGGCTATTTCACCTAGAACCAAACTTTCAGTCACTAGAGCAGAAAAACATTATGAGTGTGATTAGAAAATAAGAATTGCTCTTCGAACAATATAGCAATGACAATATATCTAATCAATAAAATATTGCAAAAATGATATCTGAAGTCTAACAAATCGGAATTCGTTATAAGGTCATTATAATCCA